AGGCTTTGTAATGTTTAGGTCCTTGAATAACATTTAATGTAAAACAAAGAAAGGGCCCTGAGGAGAGAATAGGACCTTTACTAGATGTTGTATAGGGTTCCAGCCGCACGGTTCCTATTGTAGCTGGACAAACTCGTTTTTTGACATATTGTCTTCTTTGACATCCATACTCCTCATTTTGTGGTTGCATCGTTTCTTTGGACAATGTTGAATAGTGTACTTTGGTTCTCCATAATATAAACATAATCCTTCTTGATGACGACGAGTCTTTTCTTGCTCAGTAAGAGATTTGAAACGTACTGCATCAATTTACATATCCTCTACTTCCGAATGTATGTGTTGAAGAGGTGTTGATGTTGCCATTGAATTATAGTAACATTGAGGTCTACTTGTACGATTCTTAGATTGGAATTCAAAAAGGTGATTGTCACACTTCACAGCAAGGTCAATTGCTTGACTCAATGTTTGAGGATTATGTAAGTTGAGCATTAATTTTTTTACCTCATATTATAATCCGTAGAAAAATTGGTTAATAAGTGCAGCATCATCTCAGTTGATATTAGTTGCAAGTTGTCAAAATTGTGAAGCATACAACGTTACTGATCGATTGCCTTATCATAAAATACAGATCTTATTGGTTGTAACACGAATTGCATCATGTTCTCCATACATGGATTGAAACTTTGTCAGAAAAGCTTTTAGATTATCCAATATTGCATCTTGTCGTTCAAGAAAAGATGAAAACCACGATAGTGCTGAACCTGAAAGAAACGTACCAATGAATCTAACTTGCGATCTTAGAGTTGGATAGTTTTGAGATTGAAGTTCAATCACAAGTTACACTTAATTGATAAATCCTCGAAACTTGGATTTGGTGCCATCAAATTTCTCAGGTAGGGCAACTCTTCATTCTCTAACACTAAAAGGGAGTTCCACCATTGGAGAAAGGACATGATTTGGTGTAGATATTGAAGAAGCTCCAACCATTTTTATATCTTCACTTCCTACCAATCTTGTTGCTCCTTGTGGTGGTAAATTGAGTTGATGCATCGCATGCATTAACTCTCTCAATTGCTCTTGTATTTGTACTATTGCATTCTTCATTTCAGCAAGTTTTGCCATGATAACATTTAGAAAAGAGAAGATGTTTAATATCGCTCAAGACAAATAGAAGAGAGGACTTGAGAACAAAGAAAATACTAAGGACAATATTAGTTTAGAAGAGGGTAATCCGCAACTTCTAATATGCTTATTTCTTATCAAAAAAAAGCGATAATCCACTCTTAATCAAGATTAGACAAAGCTCTAATATTGTAGGTGTACTCTTGTCAATCTGTCAAGGATAAGAATTCGATAAAAAAGTAATTCATATAAGTGAACCTTCACTCAAAGAAAGGTAATAAAATATAAATAAACAAGTATGTATATTGAAAAAGAAACTGGAATGGCTATTGCCAAAAAGATAAGAAAATTAGAGACCCTTGAAACTAAACTGAAAGCAAGAAAGGAGTTGACAAGAGTGAAGAAGGCTTCACTCTTGTCTCTATATATACTATCTAACTAGGAGCTATGTGGCGACGTTCTATAGGACCTCCAATATGTGTTGACTTTGTAGGACACTTGCCTTGACTTACAATGCAAGTTTTTCTACGTGTGGGCCACATAATTAGCTTGGTCTTCAAGCTAACAACATGTGTGGCACATGGCCAACTTGTTGACCATATTTCTAATCAAAAAATTCAATTAAAGACACCTATAAAGTCAAAGGAGCATCTATGAAGCTTCTAAAAAGCTTCCATACCAAATACTAAAGAATTAACTTACTTTTATATACTTTTACTTACTTCTACCTATTTATATATGTAATTATTGGCTTACATGAGTATGTCCATGACAAGAATGCACCAAGCACTTGACTATAGAAGGTAGAATAGAAACTACAACAAAAAATTCTTAACTTTAATAAAATACTAAATAAACTCTAATTAAACCATAACAATATTAAGCAAGCTTTAATCAAATTAAAAAGAAATCTTTAAAAATTTACAAAAGAAATAATAATTTTTTTTAAAGGAATTCAAAAGAAATCTATGATAAATCTTAAAATAATCCCTAAGAAATCCTAAAAATATATTAGAATAATCACAAATATATCTTAAATAAATCTCAATTAAATCCTAATTTAATCTTAATTAAAACCTTAATAGTTTTCAATAAAATCCTAGGCCAAATCCTAAATCCAAAAAAATCCTAGATCCTAAATTCTAAATTATAATCCAACCTTAAATCCTAATCAAATCTTAATCAAATCTTAAATCCTAATTCAATCCTAATCCTAAACCAAATCCTAACTTAAACTTAACCAACTCAACCTAATCCTAGAATAATTTAGAATCTCAATATTTATCAATTAAATTATTGATCTTGCTTAAAATTTTATAAACTTTTTAAAATCTAAGTTAGCAAAAAATATACAAAATTTGAAGATAATCTCACTTATCAAATGGAAAGAAAATCCTAAAATCCGCTCAGGTATTAGCTAGCGTCCTACTCCAAACTGATGTTGAACTTCTAATACTAATATCTCCTTATCTAATCATTCAATTATTCTCAAATTTTACATATATATAGCAAATCAAGTCTATTATTCTTATATATAAAATTCACTCCAATCCAACCAGTGGATTGCTAAAGATCTTAGAAATCCTAATTGCCCCTCAAAGTCCAATTTCCAAAACCTCAATCTACTTGAAATTCAATAACCTTTAAATCAACAATTCAATCAATTTCAAACTAACAACATACACTTCAGACAACTATTTATATAAGTCTTCAAAATTTGAATTGTAGAACTACTACCAAACTCACAAAATTCTCTAAAACATAATATCCTTTTTATTTCACAAATTCTAAAATCACCTAAAACAATTGTGACTTCGAAAAGTTCTTACAAAGTCATTATATACTCAAATCACTCAAAATAAATGCCTAAAGAAACTCTATCAAGTCTGCTCTCAAACTCTATTCTTTGATCTACAAAAAAAACCTCTAGAGTCATTGTAGACATGCAATTTTGTGCATCAAGATCTATTTTCAATCCAAGTTGACAAACGATCCTCTTTAAGTATCAATATTAGGTAATTTGAGGTAATTTTTGCTTGAACCTAATTATAACTTCCTTCTAAATATGTCTATATTAATTACTTGTCTTTATTACTTTGATTTGAGGCATTTATGCGACTACAAAGCAAATAGAAGCCCTTTTTCTAAAAGACAGCATTAAGACTAAACTTTATATTATTTTTCTATCATTTATCTTTGTTTTTCTACCACATCTTCCTACTAGACTCCTCTATAACAACATCCATGTTTTTATTTTTCACCATATAGTCATGTTAGTACACGACACCAAAATAGTATAATAGCTCTTGAGGTTAATGTGGCCAAAGGGCAACACCTATTGCAAGAAAATTTCAATGCATGGATGGCAGATGGGTGGCAATTTTTTGACCTTGGCCCTCGCCACCCATGGTAACATCACGTTGCAACCATGAAAAAACATCACACGTGCCCTGAGGTAAGCACACATCATTTTGTTCAATCATTAGTCCGTTTGATAGGGGCTCGCTGTGATTACTCTACAGTAGAAAGGTAAAGGACCCTGTCCTTGTCCTTGTCAAGGGTCAATGGCACATTCATAAGGCCAATGAGGGCCTACCACGTGTTGAGGCACGAATTGTAATGCACTTCCGTGCTTTGTTTTAACCCCGGAGGGGATTTCAAGGTGAGGACACTCGGCTCTTGCCTGAGCGACTTGGGTTCGAATCCCGGCAATAGAAGCTCCCGAGTGACAAAACGGACTACAAAGCTTTTTTTTATATGTCTTTCAGGTCTGCCCTTGTCATGTCAAATCGTTGTCCTTTAGGACTCCATGTGCATGAACTGTCACGATACATGTAAACGAATCAACCCAATTAGAAATCACAATAGAACGATGAGCAAACCTTGTTTATCTGATTGCGGGTGTAAGCAGCTGAACAGGGTCCAGTTCAATGTCTACAGATCATCCACGTTGGCCACCGCCGATGGACCAAAACTTGACAATTCTACAAATATCGGCAAGATTCAAGTCAGATCAAACTACTTCGCAGCGCCTCTATCTTTACTAAGGATAACTTATGCCTGGAAGACACCAGATTCTGTGTGTACGCCCTTCTACAAGTGATATTCTTCTCACAAATCATGCAAGTTCTGTAACACCTTCGAACAACTCTGGATTATCATGATTATCATGGTTAAGATACTTTGAACCATGTTGTTGAGAGTAGCATCTGAAATGTGGAACTACTGAATAGCAAACTACGGTGATGATTTTAAGCTAATGCATGCAATAACTGCTGTAAACTGATTTACACAGAACAGAGTGTTCGAGAAGAGGAATTTCGAATTTCTAGCTCCGATTCAGCTCACCAAATTTGAACGTGGGTGTTCGCATTATCAGCTATGGTTAGCATTGCGCTCAGTTGTCACATAAAATTGGAGCTGGAGATGGGACTCATGGCACCAGTGATATATCAGTTCTGACAATCTGTTCAAGAGGCAGCATCGTGTATACAAACGAACTCATCTCGTTTGACGACTTTCTTGCCAAATGTTTATAATCACAGATATCAACATATATGTGACGATGCAGCACGATATGCTCTACACAATAACCGACATCCCCGTCTGCCGACAATATATGGCTTCCACGCCCAGACTAGAAATTGTATCAGTAGTGGTACTTTGTGTGCAATAAAAACATTTTACAAACAGAGATGCTCGAGAAATATTCTATTTCATTGGAAATGAAGAAATACTTCGGAAGTATGTAAGAGGGTTCTTGGATTCAAACAAAATCTTTATTCGGGACCCAACAATCATGTACTATGCTTTCAACAGTATTAGAACGATGCGTCAAACGCGCAGACATGCGAATATAAAGACAAACACTCAGAGAGTACACTGCAAACCATAGATTCCAGTATTACATGGTAACGAACACAAATCGTATATTTATAAACCTACATACAAGATCCTGGCCCCTCTTCAATCACCACCTTCAGTCAAAGCTGGGCCAATATAGATCGTTCTCTGCGACGTCAGCTGCAAACTGTATTACTTTGGAAAAGCCTTCTACAAATAAATATACAAAAAGCGTCGCGATGCCTATCTCCTGCAAAAACAAGTTGGACTGCAGAAGTCGCAGCCAACGTTCAGCACTGAAGGACCTCGTCCAGCACTGTACAGTGCATACTCCCAAACCCTCAACACACACCCCTGGCTCAGGCTGCTGCAGGCTGTAAACTGCATCAGCATCTTCGCTGTATAATCCATGCACATGAACCATGGATCTGAATGTCCATCTCTACTCTACATTTTTCATCATCATCTAAAGTTTCACGTTCCTCTGTCCCAAAAGACGACATAGAACGGATGTCAAGATCCCAGCAGGATCTGGAAGCCATAGTCATCTAGATTTACTCTATACATCCTTGTAAGTTTGGAACAGTCGTCAAAATATGTAATACGCTATTGCTAATTCTCTGTGACTGCTTGCATTAGAGAATTCACGGGTGAAGGACAGGCCCATTTCTTTTAGCACCATTGTCCCAACAAGCGTCGAGTACGAAGCTTGCACCTCGCTCCTGTTAATGCAAACGTCATGTTTACATTCTACTTCCCAGCTCACAGCCGACGACGCTGATCACAAACCTTCACTGTAGAAATACCAGTCCTAAGTACACAGTTTAACATTTCCTCCGACACATCCCAAGTATGACTACTACCCGAACTCAGAAAGTCATAAAAAGCGACTTTCATGAATGACAAGGTAGGAGTGGAAGCCAATTAATCCTGCACCAGGGCCAACCTGCCGCAAATCGATAGATCCCTAGCGATCGAGAGCAGAAATCACCACCCTGCACACGTTGAACACGTCTTCCATCAGAAAAATGGACATTGTTACTGGGACAGCGGAGATCTATGTACACGCGTCGTAAGCAACAACGTACTGTCCTTGCTTAGGATACTTCTCACTGAACGTTGCATAAATCTAAACACGAGGACAACAAAAAAATAAAATAAATAAATAAATAAATTGTATGAATATTTAACACTTACCAGTCATACACTGTGGGTGAGGTTGGAGGGGGAACGTGCTCGTGCTTGCCGGAGCAGCTTCGTGACATCTCCCTGGCGTCCGGATGAAAGACGCTACGCCACCTTCGATCCTTGTCCCTAGACACTGCACAACAAAGAGAATTCGAATGAGCGGAGGATGCACCTCTAAAAACAAGATGCAATGTAGGTGATCAAGCGCCCGTGATGAACATCATATCGCGTATGGATGCACATAACCAAGGACATGAACAACATTCAAACACGTGCTAGAGATATTACTTCTTGGAGAAGGCGAGGCCAGAGAAGGCGAAGCAGGTGGACTGGAGAACTCCCCATAGCTTCCTAGGGAATTCGCAGCAGAGTCGGTATCCAATGGACGAAGCATAGGTGGCTTCTTGATTGAAATGCTTTGAGTCACATGACGGGCCTCAGCCTGAGAACGCTGAAATTCAGCGCTCCTCCGCCGATCCATTATCCGCTGCGCGTAATCATCGTTTTCTGTTGCACCACATGGAACATGTCATCACATTAACCTCCACAAACTCCAAAATCGTCGATTCAGACCACTTGGAGGCAAAATTAAGCCTAACCATACGTCAACCACTGCCGTCACCGCCACCATTCCCAGATCTCTAGAGTACACCAAGCTGAATACCAAAAGCCATGTTCAAAGCCTGTCGGTTAGGCCAGTAACAATGTTTAAGAAACCAACTAGATGTGAGAGTGGCAGATATAAGACATACCATCTTGAAACACATCTGACAAGCCCGCAGCCAACCGCTCCTTGCGCAGCTTCTTCAACCCCTGGTCTGGTTGAGGTCCAGCAACGACATCGTCCCAGAGTTTGTCCAAGAGCCCCATTGTGGAAATTAGAACGAAAGGCGACCAAGACTTCTCTCTCCACTCAAGAGATGCCTTCTGCACACCTTAAAGCTCAATATGGTCGTGATTTAAGCGGCTTCAAACACCACTTCAAAGACGTGAGACTCTCACAACAAGTGAGTAATCTTGAGATTTTGAACTGCTTCACAAACTCTCCTACTTCGCTAATTAATTCACACACCGACGAGATCTTCAACACGATCTGCAATCAAAACTGAACCAAAATTGGACAAAACTTCGTTGCTTCAAAGACTTCCTGGAGGTGTAGACGCGGAGAGGAGGGGGGGAAATCCGCGAAACGAGTGCGGTACGGCGTCACACGGCGTCACAGCAGCTTCAGAGACAGGCTGGATGACTCTCTGCGAGAAGCTGTGGAAAAGGTTCAGAGTCTGAGGGGACGATCCCTTCTTAAACTCTATCCGCGGCAAGATCATACGTCTATATGTACAGAAGAATCGTCTTATGATAGCCGATGTACGCTACATCCTAGACAGGTATCTGAGCCGGGGTATCAACCCCTTGCCGGATAAATTTCCCCGGTATCGTCTGGTGACGGCGCTATCTGAGCACGTATGCAGGAGGCATTACCTTGGACCCACCAGATATTATGTCTTGATGGTGTTCTGCCCTCTACTCTGTTGGAGATGCAAGGACACCATAGAGAATTAAACCCCCTCATTCCTCTCTCATTTTATTTAAATATTTTCCCCTTCAACCCACTGCAAGAAAAATCCATGTAGTCCAATATGAGTAAACCACAAGATCGGTATTGTGAACAATGCTGGGGCCACAGTATGACTAATAATATTTAGTGTGCGATGTGGTTTGTCGCCCATCCCTGGTGGATAAACCCAAAAATTGTCAGAGAATGAGGTTTCCAGCACTCAATCTCTGACCAGTCAAGTATGCCGTCTAAAACGGATGCCTTTGCTGTGGCGACAGAACAGATGGATGAAACCCACGAGCAGGAATCCATGCACAGAAGAAGAAGAAAAAGGGTAAAAAGAGGAAGACCAAATCGTGTCTAAATCCACCAGTTCCGTGTTCCCCCACCACACTGTTAGAGTCACAGACTTTGTCAGGGTCCAAGGTGGCACCATCCCTAATGTATTCTAAATTCATATAATATTTTATCTATTTGTATTTTGTGACCTTAGATGTCTTCAAGCATATATTTTTTGCATGGCATTTATTATATCTCTCTAGTATGCAAAAAGTCATATTTTACATTTGTACCAAGGAGTTAGATATCATGCATGAATTGTTGTATTGGTTTTCATTATCCTGTGTGTGTATATATGTAAACAATTGCTTTCTTCACAATATTTTAATGCACATAATTGCCTCAACTGTTATCTGAAAACCCTAAAAAAATTACAATGTTTAGTTATTACTGAGTTTGAATCAACTAGTACAACTTCTCCCCTGACTGAGACCAGTGCAACCCATTGGTTGGTCATGAAGGAAACATTCATTCTTTCTTAATATGTGTATATGCACACATTACAATCTATAATAATGAAAAAAACAGGGTTGATTCAACATTGGCCATGGAAAAAGCCCAAACTTAGCTTCATCCTAAGTTTGGCATGTGAGGGCCAGAGTACCAACATGTGGGTTTAGTCTGACGAAGCTCTGACAGCCCTGTGAACACAGTGTTCATGAAGTCTTCCTTGGTACCTGACAAAGGCTGAGTTTTTTAAATTTGGACAAAGCTGTGGGCCTCATACTCCCATTTGCAAGTAGCTCTTCTTCATTCGCATGCTTTGCCTAGCTTGGGTTTTGACCATTCACATGCATGAACTTGTTTACAGTCAAACCTCAGGACGTTTTTTTTTCTTCTCAGAGTCCACGTGGATCAACAATTCTGTCCACAATGAGGGTCCCAAACCCTAAAAACCTACTCGTTTGGCACTACCAGTTTGTTCCTGAGAAAGCAAGAGGATATTCAAAAGGAAGATTGTATTTTATTCTACAGTGATTATCTTTACTCTTTTGGAATAATTATAATACAAATTTAGAGGTATATTTGTGTGAAAGTGTGCATGCATGTGTGGATGGTGGAGGGTACGGGGTCCAGTAGCACCAATAACATGAACTGATTTCGAATGATGTGAACAGCAGAACAGATTAAGGTTTCTTGTTGAGCCTTGATAAAGATGTTTAATGTCTCTTCTTTTGCAATCATTTGTCAAGTTCAAATGTTGTGTGACTTATCTAAAAACAAGAGATTAATGTATTCTTTCACTGACTCATGACTTTAACATTCTTTACATTTGTCCTATTTAAGGATACCTAAACATGGATGAGAATAGTAAATATGCGTCTTTTGGAGATCAGATGAGATGAAAGAAGGATTAGATTATGGATTAACCATTGGGGTTACTAATTTAAATTGAATTGAGTGTAACAACTGAAACAGCTCTGCTGATTCCCATTTTAGTAACTTTTTCAGGTTTGGTCCTAACCAGATTCTATGTATGCCCATACACCTAACATGAACCTCTTGTCTCATTGTGATCTCTCCATGAGCCAAAATGCCACTTTTATATAATGCTAAACTCAATTTAGACAATTCTTGTGTTGGTGGTTACCCATATATGAACCACCCTCCTAAGACGTAGGAGAGAGGAGACATTCTTTATCATCCATAGTGTTTTGAAAAGCATGCACAACAGTGGTTTGAAAACATGAAAATGAGGTCCCAATCACTGTAAAGAAGTTTCGTTTTTGCAAAGCCATGAATGAATGAAAAAAAACATTGTGAATGTGAACTCTCTACGTTATTTTTATCTATTGTACATGCATTTTGGGAAACATTTTGCAGGCTGTGGCAGTCACATCTGATGAAATTTTGGAGTCTTCAGGGTTCATTTCCACTCAGAATGTGTGTGATTAGTTTGAATGAGAACTAAACGGATAAAAGCAAGTGAAAAAAGAACACGTTACATCGATGAGGTCACATTTACAATGGAGGAAGTTCACTATCATCCGTGCAGAAAGAAAGACGGAACCGATTCCGGGATGCCGGCCGTGCCTCGGATACCGGGACAGGATGGAGAGTCCACACGACATTGACAGAACGCCACAGACCCCAGCTGCAGATTCCACATTAAAATCTGCTTGGGTCTCGCGTTCTTCAATGCAAGAATTTGGGCTCCTCTGCATCATTTGTCCACGTGGAGGGTGGTGGACAGTAGGGCAGAGGTATTTTCGAAGCATGTGACCGCCAATGGTACGGAAAACATACAAACAAAGACCTTCATCAAAGAAATTCATCAAAGAAACACAAATTTGATCCCCGAGAAGTCAAAACCAATGTGAAAGAATTAAATAAAGACAACCAAATTTACTCTTGTATCTCCACAAAGATGTGATGCTATCTCTCATACTATTTGTTGAAATGCAAATAGAAAACATCTCAGGCCCATGTAGTTGGCGATTCCAACTTGAATATAGTCCCATAATTCATATTTGCACGAAAAATCACAAATGCTCTACAATTTTCTCGGCTGTTGGATCTAATTGTGAGGATTAGGTCATGTCATTTCTCTGTGAATTGACCATTTGAGATACACTTAGTCACCTCTAAAGCCCAAATCACAAATGAAGCAGAATTAGTATCTGAAAGCGTAGCTATTCATTGGATAAAACAACCAAAATCAGAATCACCTTGTTTCAAATCAAACGCTGATTTCGGATTAGCGCAGTTCTCAGCTAATATTAGAGTAACATAGGAATTTGGAATAATCAGAAGGTTCGAATAGTTACAGTGAAGCTGCTGTCAAGCCACTAGCAACAGAAGCCAAATTCAAAAGTAAATTTATCCACAAATCAAGATGTTTCTAGAATTAGGTTTTGGCCTTGAAGGCGCGACTCACGATGCACGCACCCTTTTATTTGGGGTCGAATTAAGGCAGAGAAGTGAGAATTTTAAGGGATGGGTAGCCGGGCAGACGGGCAGCCCTCTACGTCGAACAGTAGGGTGCTGCCCCTAAAAGGCCATGGCCATGTGCCCCTCTGTAAAGGGCGGTAGATAAAAAATAAAAATAAAAAAAAGAAAAAAAGGCAGAAAAGTTGAACTGGGTTGATAATATCTCTTGCGACTATCAAATCGAGGCTCGCCAATTGGACTGTCCAGCTCAGCATCGTGCCCATTAGGATTATGAGTATGTTTGAATGCATTGGATGTCTTAATACGTTCAAATTGGGCCATGACCTCTGAAGTGACTCATGTGGACAAAACTTGCAGTCTGATTTATTTTCATGTTCTAACCGACTTTTGAGAACATTCTCATACTTTCAATAGTTTCTGGTATGAAAGAAGAAAAGTAAATAAAAAGATAAAGAGCAAGGGTTTTGTTGGAATTAGAAACAATGTGGGTACTCACAAGTATTTTCATATCCAAGGGTAAGAAAAAGAGCAAGGGTTTTTTTTCATGTGTAATTGATAAAAACTAACATTATAAATAATTGAAGAAGAGATCAGTATATAATCACTAGATTGTCATAAATTTGTCATTTGACAAGTTTTTACGATTTCATCCACCAGCTTTTACTAATTATTATAATTACTCTTTTGTATGCATATGTATGTGTATGTATATGTCAGTAGTAGCTTAAATTATTATAGTCTGTTCCTATTATAATCTGTATTTTCTAGGTACATGATTATCTAAATCTGAACACACAAACGATTCAAATTGAAGTGTTTATTTATTTATTTAAAATAAAATATTAGGCTTCACAAAGATATCTTAGTATTAAATATTCAACAATAAATTTATGGTTTGTTAATTTTTATGAACAAAATTAATACCTGAGATGTAAAATTTCTTCTAAACAAAGTGTATTTTTAACATTGACTTTTGACAAGGATAGTAGGTTCTAGTATGAAATTTTACTTTCTTATAATTATTACTTCTTATATTATTATTGTATTTTAAAATTGGTTAATATTTGTATGCAATGCTTTTTCAACAATATGATGTTGATAAATCATATTAATGATAAGTAGCAATATCTAATGGCCAACAACAACTCAAAAGTGCTGTGGCCTTATTGGCCATTTGTATTGCCTGCTACATGTCCTCATACAATCTTTACTGATTTTTATTCCATTGTTGTATGCTTCTTCCAATGTGATACTTCCATCTTAATTGAGGGTCCCATATTTTATATCAAAAGACGTATTACAATCAGGTTCCAAATCTTCATTCTCGACTTTTACTTTACTTTAAAAACAAAGGATCTGAAGTCATTTTCCTGCAATCAATCTTTATAAATATATATGACGTTACTCAAAATGTGGATTTAAAGGTCTACTGCTTACATTGGTATCTAACGCCAAATTCGAAGATTCAAAGTTTGCTTGTAGATCGAGGGCCAAGGTCATGAAATATCGAGGGCTAGTGACCCCCGAGATCCAGCT